AAGCCACTGAATGGGCTGAACTCATGCAGTTTTCATAGATACCAACAGTAAAAACAGAGTACAGCACGTGCTGTGAAGCCTTGAGTTCTCTCAACTCAGGAACACCCTGGCTAGACAAATGTGAGAAGAAGCAGGGCTAGCCAGGGACCCAAGGCTGACGGCTCAGCCTCCCATTACTCATCCCTGAGCTCTGTCTCACTAGACATTTAGCACCTTTGTGGGCTTGTTTTTGATAGCTAGAGAGGGAGTGAGAGAGATGTGACTAAAACAACAGGATCTCTGCTTTTAGATGGGGTGTCAGGTTTAAGTAAGTGCAGAGCATTGTGAAAGGCTCCACACAGGTAGCAGCCTGGCTCGCTCTTTAGGGCATTATGTGGTTCAGCTGTGCACAAACCAGAGCACTCCTGGCTTGTCTGGAGCCCAGCCAACAAAGGATGTTGTAAAATCCTGTCTGGCTTATAATTTAATTTTGCTAAGGTTAGAACAATGCTTCTATAAGTGAAAAGCAAAAGGTAGTTTTGAGATTATGGCAGGAAATCTACAGTCAGTTCCTAGCTCCAACAGAGACTTTCCTTATACAGCATTGGGCAAGCCAACCAAAACTCATATGCTTTGTACCCTGAATTGGCATTAAAAAAATCATACTGCCTTCTGTTCTTTGTCTTGGCTACTTGGACAATGAGCACTTGGGGAAGAGAAAGGCTTTCAATCTGTATTTATACTGTGCCTGGTTCTTCGAGGCATCAGCCTGCAGTATTCCCTCTACACGAGTAGCAAGAAAGAATAAATAAGTTAAAATGTGTATTGTTATGTAAGTGTACAAGAACCAAGCTCAGTGAAGCTGTGGTACTTGTGTCAGGCATGTGAGCCAGTACCTCTGAGCATCACCCTGGATTGATGCCAGGGGACCACAAGTCCTTCTCCAGTGTTTAGTCCCTGGTCCTGTGTATCCATGTCCACCATATCTCATTTCCTGCCCTCAAGACTGCCTAGAAAGGCCAAGAGGAACTTCTAAGTGGAATAAATTAGAGCCCTGAAGAGCAGGAATGGTAAAGTCTGCATTTGTTTTTGGGTGCTGGAGAACATTGTGTGTGGCCAACCATGATCTGCCTGGCTCCAGCATCAGCTTTGCTCAGGGCAGGGAAGGGGTAGCATGAGACAGGGAGAAGTCCAACCCTGAGGAATGCTATATTTACTCTGAGCAGATTTATGTATGTGTTTTCACTAGTAGGGCTTGTTTCTCTGTTGCATTTGAGCTCCCAGCATGTGGATTGTTTTTTGAGCAAGCAGTGGGCAGAGAGAGCAGAAAGAGCAAACACACACAAATCAGAGAGTTTGGTTTTATTTCCAAACAGGCATACACAGAACTGTAGGGAGTACAAGAGGGAGAGGGCAGCATATCCCTTTGCTCCAGTATAAAAATGAACTTCCTAGGCTGACCCAGACACCTAAGAGTAAAGGGAAAAATATCAGCTACGTGACTAGTGGGAAGAGAAAGTGCCAGCAGGAAAAATCTATCAGAGCTTTCCATGGTTCAATCAGTCAGAGCCTGCTTCACTGGGGAAACAATCAATTAACCACTTCCACTAGGGCAGCCACAGACATGCTGTTCTGGAGGTAGTAAATCTTCGAGTTTATTTGTTCTCAGTTGCACTCCCAGCTTATTTACATCACAGGAATCTTCCTCCCTGTTTATCTTCACTTCTGCAAGTCCCTCCCAAGGATCTTTCTGTCCATGTCGATCAATGAAGAAGAAGTCTTACATATTAACAATTTCCAGCTTCATTGCAAATCCCTATTTCCCTTAAACAGGCAGCCAAAACAAACAGTTTCCTCCAGGCATCCGGAGGGCATTACGCCTTTAACTGTCCATCCAATTTCCTGCTGTCAATGCATTTTGTCTCACTTTAAGGCAGATGGTTTTGGTTTAGGGTGTTTTGGCCCAATTAATAATCAAAGAGCTCTGCAGGACATATATTTTCCCCCACCCTGAGGAGCAAAATGTAGCAGTCAAATGAGAGGCAGATGACACCAAAGCTAAGGGATGATGTTTAGAGACCTCAGCCCAAGCCGCTCTGTGGCAGACAGGAGCAGAGAAGGTGGTCCCACAGATACAGTAAAGAGGGAGGTGGAAGACAGCCTGGAAAAAATGCACAAAAGGAGCATTGGGAGAGTGTGACCAAGTGGTGCTGAGCTGTGCAGGTGCCAGGGGCTCTGACAGTGTCTCTGGAGGAAGCTGGCAGATGGATGAGCATAGAAAAAGTGCACAGAGGTGGGTGGGGATGATGATGGTCCTCCTCAGCACCTAAACAGGAGGTCTCAAAGCACTGAAGAGTCTTCAGCCCTAATATGCTGGTGAAGAAAACAGTGTTGGGGACAGAGATTCGCTCTCCAAGCCACAGGCCTGTGTCTGCCATCACTGTGCTTTCAAGATGTAGCGAAACAAGCTATTTAGATGGCCACAGCATAAAACTGAGATTAAATTTCTATTCCTCATTTAAATTTTTTATTGCAGTCTTTAAATGAAAATAAAGCAGTTGTCAGCACTTTTAGGTAACTTCTGTGTCTGGCAACCTGGAAGCAAATTTTGACTCACAGATGCCTCTTGCTCCTCTGATCTAATGTGCTGGCAGGGCTGGTAGACAGGAGATGTATTAACAGTTTTAATGCACCTAAATTTGTGCCTGTAGCTGCTGTTAATGCCTTGATTGGTGCTATTGAAATCTCTTCTTAAACATATGGTAATACATTCCTCACTGATTCTCCTGCCTTTCAAAACTCAGACCTGGAGATATCATTGTCTGTAATAAGTTCATTCTGTTCCTTCTGCTTTACTGCCTGCCTGGCCTAGCTTTGATGAAGTAATTCATATAACTCACTAACTCCAGAGCAAGTTTTGATTAGTTTTTGAATTAAATAACATATTTTCTTTTAGAAAGTCCCACAAATTCATCTTGGCATCTGATATTCATATGACCTCTGCCATTCTGGATGCATCACCAGTCCTGAAGAACCTGGATGTCAGGACTGAGAGTGTACTAGTTGGCCTTAACAGCCCCAAAAAGCTTCACTTGGGCCTCACATTTACCCTCTCTGTCAGAAGCTCCATTTAACCTCCAAGCCTGGGGGGCTTCTAGCTCTTACCTGGGCTGTGGGTGAGACTGTCTCAGTTTGGCTTTCCATAGATGACTTTGGAGCTGTGTGTTGATAGAAGCCACTGCCACCATCTCCTGCTCTGCCTCCCATGGCAGGGGACTGTGCCTGGTCATATCCTTGTCCCTGCTCTGTGCAGAGGCTGCTCCTGGCACTCCCTCCCTGGGAGCAGCCCTGCTCTTGCTGCTTCTTGGCATTGGCAACCACAAATACAATACAGTTGTGGTAGGATTTTCAGTAGGTAGAAAACTTTTAATGGATTGATTTATTAACTGTTTGAGAATGGAGAATACAGGCTGTTTTTCTGGGGCACTCAACATGTAGCTGTTTTAGCCACACTTCTACTAAGGGAGATGTTGGACTTTTAATATGCATTTTTGGATTAGCACAAGCAGGCCTGTCATTTCAGTGGGATGACACTTAGTTGTCAGGATGAGGTGACAGACCAAACACGAGGAACATCTTCCTTTGTTCCCTGAGGGAACAACAACCTTTTTCTGCAGACCGTGTCACTAGTGGAAAACACTCTAACACCATCCCAGTGGTTTTTTGCACTGAATAAATAAGGCTACACTGCATTTCCTTCCCCAAAGCAGGAATAGAGATGCTGTGATGTCTCTGCCATAGGCAGCACCTGTGGACAGCTGGCAGTCTTGAGCCACTAATTCTCCATAAAGCTTGTTGGAAAAAAAAAAAAGAGACTTGGGGAAGGATCTCAAATTCGCTCATTTCACAGAGCACAGCAGCTTCTGTCCCATGGTGTGCTGCAGAATAAGCTTAATGCTGAGCCACAACAGGCACCAGCCGTCCTGTTTAATGTAACACACCAAGGAAAAACTCCCAGTTTATGTGCTTTCTGCCCGGGAGCTTGTATACATCCAAACAGTGGCTTTTATATTTTGGGGAGGGATTTTTTTGTGTATGTAAAGAAAGGTACGTGGGAGAATGCTGGGAGCTGGGGTTCTCCCCCATTCACACCAGTATCACTTATAACCCCTCTATTTTGGAAGAAAGCTTCAAGGTTCTGCTCCTGAAAGCTTCAAGGCTGTCTTCTGATCTCAGTGAGATCAAAGCCAGGACCACGCTCTTCCTCCTGCATCTCTTATTCTGTCTATTTCGCTTTCTCACATCAATTCACAAGCAAACCTACACCTGCGTTATCTCTGTGCTGGGAATGCAAAGGATCTTTCCGGCCTGGAGAAGGCAAGAACAGAACCGGGGATCCCCAAACCGGACTCAGGGCAGAGGGGAAGGCAAGAATAGAACCGGGGGTCCCAAGGCCGGGCTTGGGGAAGGCAGAGAAGGCGATTACAGAACCGGGGATCCCAAGGCCGGGTTCGGGGCAGGGAGGGGAAGGCGAGACCAGAACCGCGGGTCCCGAGGCCGGGCTTGGGGAAGGCAGAGAAGGCGAGACCAAAACCGCGGGTCCCAAGGCCGGGCTTGGGGAAGGCAGAGAAGGCGAGACCAGAAGCGCGGGTCCCAAGGCCGGGCTCGGGGCAGGGGCTGAGAGCTGCTGGCGGTGCCGGGGCCGCTCCCGGGCCCGTCCCACCCCCGGGCCGCGATTGGCGGCGCTGAGGCGGCGGGGCGGGGGCGGGCGGCGCGCAGGGCCGGGCGGCAGCAGCAGGTGGCTGCGCTCCGCTCCGCGCCGCTCCGCGCTCCCCTGCGCCTCTCCTGCCTCTCCTGCTTCTCCTGCCTCTCCTCTCCGCTCCCCGCCGCCTCAGCGCGGCCCCGCCGCCGCCAAGACGCCGCGGGCCGTGCTCCGAGTGAAGAATGGGGCGGCCAAGCTCGCCAAGCCGCCCGCGGCCGCGGGCGAGACCCCCGGCGGCGCCCCCGGACCCGGGCTCTTCATGGAGCGCTCGCAGAGCCGCCTCAGCCTCTCCGCCTCCTTCGAGGCCCTGGCCATCTACTTCCCCTGCATGAACAGCTTCGACGAGGAGGACGCGGGTACGGGGCCCGGGCTGGGAGCGCTCGGGGGCGGCGGTGCCCAGGGCTGCGTGTCCGCCCGCCGTGGGCGATGCGGGCAGCCGAGGGTGTGTGTGCGGCTGCCGGGTGGGTGTGCGGCTGCCAGCGCTATCCCCGACCCCGCCGAGGGCCGCCGGTTCATCCCGGGGGATGTGCGGGGCGTGCTGGGGACTGCTGGCCAAGGGATGCGTGTGCCCGTGGAGGTTAAAGCTGGGAGTCTGTTCCAGCGGCGGAGCACGCTCCGGCTGCTAATCGATGGGAAACACGGGTTATTTGCAAATGGAGCGGCTCACGCTCCATCCTCCTGTGTGTGAATGAAGGGCAGCGCTCAGGGAGAAGGCGTCCGTTCTGCCGGGTGGTGTGTCCACTCTGATTTATACACCATCAGCTCTCGGGCCGATTGGTCCTAGGGCTTGTTAGCTCCGTACACCGTGCTGCCTTTGGAGAGGGGAATAAAGGGATTCGGTTTAAATGAGGGCAGCTAAATCCCAAAACAAAAGCCTCGCAGAATGGATTCAGTGATTTTTTTGCCGACATCAGAAAGATCTTTCTGGCCTCAGACTGTTGCCGGTAGTCATAAAATGAGATCAGGCTTAAAGAAGAGGGGCACTGGCAGGGAAAAGCAGGGAAGGCATTGGGTTGAACGGGAGAGGAAGGGTGGTGGGTGCTGGAGAAGGTGCTGGGAGTAGAGGGCAGCACAGCCGCTGCGTGGGTAGGGAGGATGGAGAGAGGTCAGAGAGCACTCTGTCCATTCCCGATGGCTCCCTGGTAAATGAGGGGTGTTTTTCCCAGTGCACACTGTATCAGAGACTGAACCTGTAAGTGAATCTTGAGAGTGGCAAATAATAAAAGTTGGTAACTACGGCGTATTTTAACACCGACTGTCATGGTTGCATCCCTCAAAATGCCGGCATGCTCCTTTGTCTAGTGGCTCATCCCAAGATGTGCAGATGCCAGCAGGAATACATCAGCCCGCCAGCTGCTACACCTGTAACGATGTTGTTTTTAAAGGAGTTGACGTAAGAATCAATTCATCATCTGTGTGATTAACCTAGACTTGTCATCAGCATCATGCAGGGGTGGCAGGCAGAGCATTGTCTCCTCTAACAGATGTAGCTTTTAAAATTTTTGTCTAAAAATTTTGCTGATGGTTTATTTGCACTTCAGATTTGGTTTGAATGCTGAGGAGCATACAAGACAATAATGGGAGCTTTGGGAAGTCTCAGCGCTGTTGCTTCAGGAATGATTGATAGTGAAGCATGCTCAAGTATGAGAAATCAACACAATGCCTGGGACAGCATTTCATTCCCTGGTGTCCAACCCCTCCTGCTCTGAGCAAGGTGATAGTTTAGGTGAATGCTTCCTCTTCCACCACTTAAAAAAAAAAAAAAGCTTTTGCGCTGAATTGTATTTATTCACACTTAGTGAATGTTCATGCATGAATGTTAATAAGCTGCTTTGCATACAACACAAGTACTTGTCTCTGAATTAAATAAATCTACAATTAAGACCTCATTCTCCAGCAGCTTAAGAGCAGATCTTGCCTGTGTGAGTTGTCTCGTTAGTGAAGCTGCTCAGGGTGGATTCGGTGCGATGGGGATGTTGCAGTGTTGCTCCTGTATTTCATGCCTGTGAGTGTGTGTTCAGACACGTATGAGCAACCAGTCAGGAAGAACGTGTGCTGCTTTCTATTTTTGGTGTTAAAACTACAAGTGTATAATTTTCTCAAGCAAATAGATGACATGAAAGAGAAATTATAAGAGAAATGCTGAAATTGTGCCAGATAAGATTTTATATTATTAATACCCATGCACGCTTCTGAAATTGTGAGAGATTCTGACCAGTTTGGGTTGCAGCATGATTTCTGTCAAAAAAATAGATCTCGATAGCTCATTCAGGGAGATGAATACTGCACTTGGCAAGATGTTCTCCATAGGAGGTGGCAGAAAAAAAATGAAATTGATCCCAGGGGCATTGACAAAATAAACAATCCTATTTCAAACAGACACATCATCCATTTTGTCTGAAGCTGAGAACCACATCTTTAAGTGAATAGCCATCCTACAGAAAAAGGAGAAGAGCTGATAAATGGCCAAGCTTTAAAGGAAATTTGATGTCTTTCTCTGAAAGAGAAAAACAGCCTAATGATCGCTTAAATCTGCAAACAAGAAAAATTCTTGAGGTGTTTCATTTAAGTTACTATGGGTGGGTTATTTCAAAGGAGTCTAAAAGGAAATTTACAGATGTGCTGAGAGCCCTGGCCATGCTGGGCAGTGGTAGCAATACCTCTGGTTTGCAATGTTTCACCCTTTTAGTCTGGAGAAATGACTCTGCTTTTTAAAAATACAGAATATACTTATACGATATTTCCTTTTCTGCCATGGCTCTTTTGTTCTTCTTTGCTGCCTACCTTGTGCACATAAGGTGAGAAGACTCTCCTCATCTTCCACAATTCCTTTTCCTGGTACACCTGCAGTGTGTCTGGCCAGAGTTCTGGGCAGTGAACTGGGTGGAGATGATCTCTTGGTGTGCAGGAGCAGGCAGCCAGTGGAGGCAGGAAAGCAACAGGGCTTGGACAAGAGACAGGATCACATTTGAGTGATTCCAGAGCATGAGGGTGATGGAGTTTCGGTTATGTCGTGTCCGTGTGTCTCTCCAGGGAGGTGGATGTGGACTTCAGTGTTCTAATGCCCTTTTCATTCCTCAGCTGTGTCTACAAAGAAGATGCTCTGAGCAAATGTGAAGCTTTTTTCACCAGGAAGTTGCAGTGGGGCTTTGAAATAGCCAAAATGCACTCAGCAATTCAAGGACTCAGGTTTTATAACTCTTTTGATCTCAGCATGATAATGTTTCTGGCCTTCCTGCTGGCTGAGTGCCACTGTCTTTGCTCCACTGAGGTCCCCAGCAATGTCACTGTAGTTTAAGGATTTTTAAAGTGCAGTTATTATCAGAATAATTGTTGGTTTAACTTATGCAAATGTCTATCCTACATTTCAGTTATGGAGTAGTAGAGTAAGAAGAGGTATAAGTCAGTCATGTACTCTTTGTGGGCACATTTGTAGAATGCCTGTTTCTAACACAAATCGTGTGAACACAAATCTTAGCTGTTCTGAGGATCTGCCATACGCTTGGTCTTGGCTGGAATCAGCCATTTGGAAAGCTGATATTCCTGTGGGAACATGTCAGAAGGAACCAAACTGCTGAGGACTGAACTGCCAAGAGGCAAGTGTGTGTGGGTTAATACAGGATCCATGATGACTGTGGGCACCTGCCTTGTAGGCAGCTTGTGGTGCACCTGGGTGCAACTCATAAGTAAACTGAGGGAATGGGATGTGTGAAATCCCCCTTTGACTGATGGTGGCCTTAGCACAGCCCTCTGCAGTTCAGGGTGAAGGTTATCCTTAAGGTTAGTGGTGTGGAGGAGACCCATCTTGCTCCTTGTGTGGAGCATGAAGTTTGGAAACCTGGCTAAATCAGAACAGAAATGAAGGATTTTGTAGAGAGTGACAACAACTGACTTAGAGCTATACATGCAGAGCAAGCAAGCTTTGAGCAGGAGAGAGAAGGTGGTTTGAGTAGCTGGGACAGTTGATGTAGCAGTGGTGAACCCACTGGGAGTTGGGAAGTCAGAAGCAATGCTCAGCTCTGGAGGGGTGAGAGCTTCCATCCGTGTACTACAGAGGACAAGAACTACACCTAAGGAAAGACAGGTAGGGAAATGTGAAAAACACTGGAAGGGATGGGGTTTGCTTTCTTGTGCCTAAACTGCAGGACCCAGCAGCACTTCTCATGTCTGGCTGTGTGCTCCATCTGTGCTGTGGCCCGAGTGGGTGAGACACTGCAGTGCACCAGCTCCTTTCATCCTACATCCTGGTTTTCTTGGGAAGGACACCTGCTTGCACTGGCAGAAGGCATCTGAAGCATGCCCTGACAGGGATGCAGATTTAGATGTGTGGAATTTTAGCAGTGGGTCACACTGCAAATACAGCTACCCTGGAATCCAGATCTAGCTTAAACATCTGCACAAGGTTCCTTACACGCCCAAGTGTGAAGAGCAGGGCTGCTCTGGTCAGGAAGCAGGGAAAGGTGCAGAGAAGCTGTGAGGGACTTGTAAGTGTCCCTTCCCTGGTCAGGACCTCAGCACAGGGACTGTCCAGCTTGGCAGACCCCTGTCCTGGCTGCCAGGCAAGAGAATCAAATCATGTCTCAGCCAGCTGGAACCAAGTGTCTGCCAGAGAGAAAATGGTTTCCAAAGTCAAAATGTCTCCTAGATACTGACAGTAAGCCTTCCTCGTGTCAGCTGCTCATTCAGAAAAGACTTGAATTAGAGATAAAATTCGGCCCAAAAAAGCAGGCTGCTGCTTTCACACGTTATAAAGTACTGGCAGAGGCACTGTGTTACGATCAATTACTTTGAAGAGAAGTATATGAAATACTAATTTAATGGATTGATAAAAAACATTTAAACTATTGGGGTGTAAGAAGGGGCTGAGAACATTTAAGTTAGTTTAGAATATTCTTTTGTTTGGGTTTTATCTATTGAACTTCCTCATAATTTTAAACATTGACCTTCTCTATAATTTCAAACATTAAAGCGTTGCAAAGCTATTAAATAGAGAGAGCCCCTATGTGTGTTTTCACGTTGCCATGGATATTTCTCAGTTGCAGCACTGTATTGGGGTACATATGGTTTAAAAGAAAATAATGATTCAAGACTTAACTAGTCCGTTTTTACATTTTTTCTTAAATATAGCCCAAGTGCGTTAAGTCCTTTTCGTGCTTACTTGGGTTTTGCTTCATCCAAAGTTAATTTTTGGAGCTCTGCAAGCCTCTAACCAGTTTTGTTAGTTGTTTGTAAGGTAGGTAACCATGCTCATATGGCACACCTACAGGGAACAGGGGAAATGATTCGTCCATCTGGAATGTTAGCTATTCTTCAAATAAATCTTTTATAAATGAAAGGATAGTTTATCCCTATAAGC